ACACACACACACACACACACACACACACACACACACACACATTTTCCCAAGCATCTTGAACTGCTTTTCCTTTTACTATTAAGTCAGTTCTCTTAAAGTCTAAAACATTAGTCTGACTTGTTCAAGCAGATTCAGTGAAAAGTGATAATACCTGAGGTATGGAGTTATTACTCCATCAAAATGGTAGCTTCTGCAAAAAAAACAAAAACGGTTTTCACACAGAAAGAAATGCGACAAAATGGCGTACCTCTTCAAAGTCTTTCACCGAAATGAATTGTGGTAGGAAGACATTCTAATCAGACAGATGGATTGTCGGAGAGGCAGGTATCAAACCTAGTAGTACATTGTGTCAGGAAAAAAAGCATTTTCTGTCTTACAGAAACTTACTTTTAGGATATTGGATATGTGGAAGAAAAAGTTCGAGGGTGTCTGTGCTGAGTAACATTTCCTTTGAATTTCAGGGCTCTGTATCCTTTGAGGACGTGGCTGTGTATTTCACGGAGGAGGAGTGGGCTCTGTTGGATTCTAGCCAGAGAGCCTTACACAGAGAAGTCATGCTGGAGAATTCTAGGAATCTGGCTGCTGTGGGTAAGGGCCTGTTTTGCTCTGATATTCAGGCATTTGTGGAAGTCTTTTGTTGCCATAAATGTTCAGAAAGAAGCTTCTGACTAGAAGGAGGACATTTTGGACTTCTTTTTGTTTTCCTAAGACCAGAGTAAGTGGAGAAGATGGGAGATAGTTTACAAGATCCTTTCTCTGAGTTTTTGAGGAAGTTCTTTAGCCAAGATGACAGTTTCACTTTAATCTGATTCAAGAGTAAATAACCAGAACAGTTTTAGGTGAGGAAGACCCTGCCTTGAATATCTGTTCCTTCTAACCGCTTCCTCTTCTAGGTTGCCTTACTATCAGTGGCAGTTGCTCATACCATCGGTTTGGACAAAAGGGCCCTCCCTTTATCTCTTGACTTGAAGATATATAAGTTTCCTGTATAGCTCAGAACAAGCAAAAATAACAGTTGCTGCATTTTTCTGTAATGAACATAATGATTAATTGTTTTTTCTATTTTTGTCAAATCAGGTTATGGGCAAGAGCATGAGAATTACCAGGAGCTCAACTTTACGCTATTCCAGTCTGAAGAAAGGATGCTTGGAATTCAGAGGGCGCTTCAAAAGAGTACGAAAAGCTGCCTAAAGAATGGAAGGAAGAAATCTTCTCCTTCAGATCACAATGAACTCCTCCCAGCTCAGCAACTTCAGCAACAAGTAGGAAGTGAAAAATATTTTGGGGATGACAAGAAAGAGAGATCGAAATTTGTTTTTAGTAAATATTGTACAAACCAGGTTGAAGAGAAACAATATGAACGTCAAGAGTATGTGCAAAGTATCAGTCTTAACTCTTCTCTTCTTTTACATCACCCATCATTCATCCAAGAGACACCGTATGCACTTATAAATTGTGTGGAAAAATTCACATTGAACAGTCATCTTATATTGGATGGAGAGGATAACCCATATGAGTGTGGAAAGGCTTTCACCAAGAAACAGTTGCTTATTTTACCCCCAGAAAAAAAACAATATAAATGTCTGGAGTGTGGCAAGACTTTTACTCATAGATGTAAACTTACTGTCCATGAACGGACGCACACAGGGGAGAAGCCATATACGTGTCAGGTGTGTGGGAAAAGATTCAGTCAGACTGGTCACCTCACCAGACATGGACGAACCCACACCGGGGAGAAACCATATACGTGTCTTCACTGCGGAAGGAAGTTCAGTGGAAGTTCAAACCTTATCAAACATGTAAGGAGCCACACGGGAGAGAGACCGTATAAATGTACAGAGTGCGATAAGAGCTTCAGTCGGAAAACGACCTTTATTTATCATAAAAGGATCCACACAGGAGAAAAACCCTACGAGTGCCTGGAATGCGGGAAGAGCTTCGGGCGTAACTTTAGCCTGATGCAACATAAAAGGACCCACACCGGGGAGAAACCGTATCAATGCCCGGTCTGTGGAAAGAGTTTCAGTGGATCCTCGGATCTTATGTATCATAAGAGGATTCATACGGGGGAGAGACCGTATAAATGCCTGGAGTGTGGAAAGCAATTCAGTCGGAGAAGTCGCCTCACGGCTCACAAAAGGAAGCACACAGGGCAGAAACCGTACACCTGCCCGGTGTGTGGAAGGAGATTCAGTCAGAGCGGTCACCTCACAAGACACAAAAGAACCCACACCGGGGAGAAACCGTATACGTGTCTAAAGTGTGGAAGGAACTTCAGTGGAAGTTCTAGCCTTGTGATACATGTGAGAATTCACACGGGGGAGAAACCATACAAATGTACCGAGTGTGGAAGATGTTTCCGTCAGAGAACCACCTATATTTACCATCGAAGGATCCACACGGGAGAAAAACCCTACAAATGCCTCGAGTGTGGGAAGAACTTCAGGCGAAACGGTCACCTTATGAAACATAAAAGAATGCACATGAGCGAGAAACCCTATAAGTGTTTGGAGTGTGGAAAGAACTTCAGTGTTCACTCAGATCTGAACTGTCATAGGAGGATTGACACCGGGGAGAGGCCGTATAAGTGTTTGGAGTGTGGAAAGAGTTTCAAATACAGCAGTCATTTTATTTGCCATAGAAGGATTCACACTGGGGAGAAACCATTCAAATGCGCAGAATGCAGAAAGAGCTTCAGTCAAAAAAATCATCTTTCACAACATAAAAGAATCCACAGAAGAGAGAAACCGTAGCTTGGGAGCTTCCATCACAAGGGAAAACCCACCAGAAATAAGTTGACCTTGCCATAACATTCAGTTCGAAAGGTCATCTCATTAGATCGAAATGAATCCACATTGGAGAACCATAAAAATGGTGTGAAAATGTGGCACTGTCCTTATTTCCCACAGGAAAGTCTATGAGTATGGACAAACTTTGGGTGGCAGTACTGGTTATTCCCCCCCCGCCCAAAGAAAATATATGTGTGAAGTTGGATGAATTTCATGTATGCTAAACCTGCAAACTGTAGGCAGAACTAACTGATCCATACAGGACATGGTACAGCAAGAAATGGAGCGAAGCAACTATTTTCAGAGGATGTGTCATAATAAATACCAGTTCCACTTAGGAGAAAAACTACATAAAAGAGTGAAACATGGAGAGGGTTTGTAGTTTGTTTTTTTGCTTAAGTCTTCACCAATAGATCATGAGCCCCTCTCCATATTGTTAGACCAATTTTGAATATTTTTCTTGATATAATCTGGGACTGTTGTATCAGAGGCTGACGAGGATTATATGATAGATCAGGTTAAGTCCCATGCAAATAGACTGAGGCTGGTGCAAATGTTTAGCCTTGGGGGGGAAAAAAGCAAGAAGGATTTCACATCTGTCAAAGCATCTAACGCAGTTCCCATAGAAGAAAGGAAAGGTTTATCCTGCAGTGCAGAATAAACATGGCAGAATCGGGCTTAATTTACAAATTATTATGATAGTGGTAAAACTGTTAAACACACAATAACTACCTCTGCTAACACACCAACCTCATAATAAAAAAAGCAGGATTGCATCTTCTCCTCTCCAAGAATCCACATATTATGCAACTTTGTAAAAAGTTTACTACAGTGCTTCTCCTTTAATTTCAGAATAAAATAGTTGAGGGTGTTTTTCCCCCCCCCCTTTTCCATTTGTATCTCCAGAGAGAGAGATCCGTCGCTTCAAATTAGTGTTGTGTTTTCCTCGTTATTCAAAGACATTTAAAGATAGAAGCTAGAATGTGAAATGATTGAACGATTATGGAGATTCTCAGTCATCCGTGTCACGGTTGTCCCAAAGATCCCTCTTTTTTTCAAGATGCAACTGCTTGTTTTTCTTTGAAAATGTTTTCATTTCTGATTCTTCAGCTCTGACTGGATGGTAGGGAATGGAAGGATTTATATTCCTCACAGCCAGCTGGTCATTTGCGTTCTTTCAGAGCAGGGCTGTCAAACTCTGGTCACACCCGTGCCCGGTTTAGCGAAGGGGGAACAGTCATGATGCATCATGTGACAATGCCTTGAGGATGATGCGAGTTTGACACCTATTTTAGAGAGTTGTCGAGGTTCACTTGGAGGTTCATCTCTGTCCTTCGCTTCACCTGAATGGTGCAAATGGGTAGGGAGCCTTTTGTAGGATGTTTTCTACACTGTGTCCCTTCACCGTTGAACAGGCTGTTGGGGATGAGTCTGTGTTGTCTGCATCTCCAACTGAACTGCTCAAAAGAAGTGCAAACGAAGAAGCTTCGTGGATGAGAAGGGAAACGTCTTCAAAGAAAATAAAGTCCCGTTGCTTCTTGAAAAATGGGACGAAATGATTGACCCTTAGAAACATGAACTCCCAACGAAGTGGGAACACACAGAATTAAATAAACCGAATTGGACCAGTGACTATGAGAAACACTGTTCAATGCACAATGCCATCCAAAGCAATGCAGGGGGCCATCCTGAGACGTTCCTGCTGATTCTGTGCTTGTCCATAACTCATTAAACAACGGGCTTGTTTGCCATAATTTCTCATCTTGTGAAAAACCATGCTGTTACCACCATGGTTTGGTGATTGCTGCCCGGTTGTAGTTTGACATCCCTTGGTGTGGCTTTGGGGGTTCTTCCACTCACCAAATCTTTGTGAACTTGAGGTATCAAAAATTGAAATATCAGCATTTACAAAATGGAGGCAGCAGGACAAGGACAGCATCTCTTTGACAGAAGCAGAACCTTCCTTATCCAGGGAAAAAAAGAAGGTTTTTTATTTGGGGAAAGTTTGGTTCTTCTGTGGGAATAGAAAATAGAACAGAGCTGGAAATTGGAGGTCTTCTAGCACAACTAGAAGCAGGAAACCATATACCAGTGATAGCGAACCTTTTTGTAGTGTGCTGAAAGCGCTGCCCCCCTGCGAATGCACACGCAGCCCCCCTTACCTGCAATGTGTGTGCCTTCCAGCTGATTTTCGGAGCGTTTGAGGTCTTTTTCGTCCTCCCTGAGGCTCGAGGGAAGCCTCTGCAGCCTTTGGAAGCAGAAAAAACGGGCCTGTTTTGGCACTTCCAGTATTTTTGGAAGGCCTGATGGCGAATCTTTTTGTTGTGTGCCGAAAGTGGTGCGTGTGCCCACAATGCAATGCACTCTGCCCTCCCTGCGCATGCATGTGCAAGCCCCCCTTACCTGCACTGTGCGTGCATGTGCCTCCCAGCTGATTTTCAGCCCGTGTGAGGCCTTTTTCACCCTCCCTGAGGCTCGAGGGAAGCCTCCGCAGCGTTTGGAGGCCAGAAAAATGGGCCCATTTCAGCACTTCCAGTAGGCCTATTTTTCAGCCTCCAAAAGCTGCGGAGGCTTTCCTCGAGCCCCAGGGAGGGCAAAAAAGGCCTCAAACGGGCCAAAAAGTCAGTCGGGAGATGCGCATGCGCAGTGCAGGTAAGTTTGGCTGGGCTCACGTGTCCGCACAAATGGATGGTGTGCCATAGGTACACCATTTCAGACAAATGGCCAATCTCTTCTCTAAAACCTCCAGTGTGTAATTGTTCTAACTGGCAGGAAACTTCTTAGGTTCCTTAGTCCTAACAGAGCTATTCAGTCACTTGCCTAACGATGTTCCAGGGGCTCTGTTCCCGGAAATAATCAGATAATGGGGCAGAAAAGATTGGTCAATCATTTGTCTGAAATCAGTATAGAACTGGAAGCAGGGGTGGGTTTCTACCGATTCTGTCCACCTCTGTAGAACCGGTAGCTCTGAAGAGCAGCAGACATAGAACCGGTTCTATGTCTGCTGATGTTTTTGCCCACCTGCCCACCCGGGCTCTTACCTGATCTTTATTTCCTGATTTTTTTCAACTTCAGCTGTGAACGAGGCACAGCTGCAGTTAAAAAAACAAGAGAAGAGGGCTGTTTCAAAGGCTGCTTCTCAGCACGCATCGTGCTAATGACGATTTACAGGCGCATTGGCTCACAGCGGGCAGGGAAGCTCGTCAATCCCAAACCGGTAGTTAACCCTGTCGTATCCCACCCCTGGCTCGAAGGGACTTTGGAGATCATCTAGTCCAATCTCCTGCTCAAGCAGGTGATTCTATACCATTTCAGACAAGTGCTTGTCCAGTCTGATCTGGTCTGAGGATTCCTGAAATGGGCATTGGGTTGGACTACTAGAGGACTTCCAAGGCCCCCTCAACCCCCACAATTCTGCCCTTTCCAAATCACCCTAGAGCAAGGGTCTTCAAACTTAGCAGCTTTAAGACTTGTGGACTTCAACTGCCAGAGTTCCTGAGCTAACATGACTGGAGGAGGGATTCTGGGAGTTGAAGTCCACAAGTTTGAAGAACCCCTGCAGTAAAGAAACCAGGCTTAAAGTGTACTATAACTAAAAGAGCCAGTTTGGTTGAGTGATTAAGTCAACAGGCTAGAAAACAGGAGAAGATGAATTCAAGCTTCTGCCTTAGCCATGAAAGCCAGCTGGGTGACTTTGGGCCAGTGACTCAGCCCAGCTCACCTCACAGGTTGGTGGTTGTGGGGAAATAGGAGGAAGAAGTTATCTTGGATATGTTCATCACCTTGAGTTATTTGCAAATGTAATAAAACTGGGATATGAATATATAAATAAATGACCATTTCTTCTTTAATTAAAAGACAAGCTCCAATATGCAGTCCATTCTAAATGCCAGTCATTCCAGAGACAATCGCCTCAAATAGCAGAATATCCCATTCCAATAAACATTCCACTTTTCAACTCCAATCAGAATTGGAATAGAGTGGAAGGGACCTTGGAGGTCTTCTAGTCTAACCCCTTGCTCAAGCAAGAGACTTTATACCATTTCAGACAAGTGGCTGTCCAGTCTCTTCTTAAACCCCGCCTCCCCTTGATGAAGCACCCACAACTTCTGAAGCCAAGCTGATCCACCGGTTTATTGTCCCCACTGGGGTTTTTTAGAAGAGACTGCACAGAATTGCCACAGAGTCTCCTGCTTGAGCAGAGGGGCTGGACTAGATGCCCTCCAAGGACCCTTCCAACTCCGTTATTGTGTTACCGTTTTCTTGGGGGAGGGTTGCGAAGAGAAGGCTGTGAATCAGTAGTGAGTGACAAGGAGGAGGCAGAACGTTTTCAATCTTTCTTCCAGAAGGGAAATGGAAGCCTCAATTAAGTTATTGTCAGAAATGGTATAGTGTGTAATTAAGTTGTCAGAAATGGTACTCTGTGTGTGTGTGTGCGTGTGTGTCCGTCCTGCCTGAGCAGGGGGGGGCGTTGGACTAGATGACCTCCCAGTTGCCTTTCAGCTCTGTTGAACATCGAATGACCCTCGACTGGGATCCTCTTCTTCCACCCCGCCTGGAAACCACAGCGCCAATCCACCCGATGATACTAGAACGCAGGAGGGTTCCCAAACTGACTTGTGAACTTCAACTCCCAGAATTCTGGGAGAATTCTGGGAATTGAAGTCCCACAAGCCTTAAAGTTGCCAAGTTCAGAGTCCTCTGCCAATCCGTCGTAGGTGTTCCCTGCCTTAGGAGAGGGACGGAGCATGCGCTGGAAAGCTTTGCGAAGAGCGATTGGCTACTGCTGGAAAGAGGCGGAAGGCGAGTGGGTGGACGGCCGCCATTTTTTTTTAAAAAAAGGGAGTGGGGAGAGCGGGAGGCCGCCGGAGTGTCGCCTCTCTAGGAAGAAGCGCTCTCTCGCCCCGCATTCCGAGACCTTCCTCTCACTCT